ACTTAATATTTTATGCATTTTACCTTGGATTGCTTGATAATGGCATAAAAATAAAATAAATTTTTACTTCCCTTAAAACCATGTAACTCCAAAGGTTATGTATAGGGGGTGCTTTCTCTGCTGCTCACAATCCTTAAAGCCTTTGTATTGGACTCTTTATCATATGGTGTAGAGAATACATTCCACTCCTAAATTATAAAGCATAGTCAAGTTTAAGCTATTAATGCCAATTTACTCCTTGTCATTCTGTTGCCTATGTTCTCTTAAATCTATTTCTATCTTTAATCTTACAATAGTATCCAGTCATTTCCTTTTTTAAACAATTGATTTAGATGCTGCCGGGTTATAGTTCTGATTAGAGAGCTTTGAATCATGCCCTTCACTTGCTCCAAGGTATTTGATGGTTTTCAGCCACTCAGAATGTGATGTCGAAATTCCTTAGCCTGGCTTTCTATATAGTCTGAATATAGCTACAATACTTTCCCAAACCCATTTCTCAGTATTTTTAACCAATTACCTACACCTAGGTCATATTAGCATGTTTTCAAATTTTCAGACTTGTCCTGACCTTTCCAAATTATAGGGAAACTATTTCTATTTCATACTGTACCTGACTTCCACTTGCCTGAACTTCAGGCAGATAGGCCTGCTGATAGGCAATATAACCCTTTCAATCATAAAAAGTTAATTATGTCTCCTGTGTATTGCAGCTGGAAAGAATTTGTCCATTTGCCTAACTCATCAGCTCTGTATCTGGTTGATCCATTTCTACCTAATGTGATAGACATTTAGCTGATATATTACTGCTTTCACATGTGCTTCTTGAGGGTAGGTTTCTTGTTATCTTTATAATCCCTCTCCCCAAATATATACAACATTCCCTTTAATATAAAATTTTTATGAATTTATAAATAAACTCATTAAAATATATAATCTAAAAATTTAATATGTGAAATGAGCTAACAAAAAGGTCTCTGTTGAGATGCATATATGTAAATGTTAATTCTTTTTTTAATTCTTTTTAGGGGGGTTCCACTTTCTTTTTTTTATTAAATCAAGCTGTGTACATTAATGCAATCATGGGGTACAATGTGCTGGTTTTATATACAATTTGAAATATTTTCATCAAACTGGTTAACATAGCCTTCGTGTCATTTGGTGATTGTTGTAAGACATTTATATTCTACACCTAGTAAATTTCACATGCACCCTTGTAAGATACACTGTAGGTGTGGTCCCATCAATTACCCTCCCTTCACCCATCCTTCCCCCTCCCCTCCCCTCCTTCTCCCCTTTCCCCTTCTTCATGGACTATAATTGGGTTATAGCTTTAAATTGGTTTCATAGTAGGGCTGAGTACAATTGGATACTTTTTCTTCCATTCTTTAGATACTTTGCTAAGAAGAATATGTTCCAGCTCTATCCATGTTCTACCCATCAGGTTGGAATTTCTAATTATCTTTTCTCTGTCTAAAATAAAATGTGCATTTTTGTCTGTCGCTAATATCTGCAACTGGTCATTCTAGAATGCCGGGGTTAATTCCCCATAAAGATACGGGGAGGGGATAAAATAGCTGTATATTTAATGATATTTTTCTCTTCTTGATGAAAATATCAAGATAATAAATTCAGATTCTTAACTCTTATTTTCAAGTAAATCAGATCAAGACCTCTGAGCAAGTTTTTTAGAAAGTTCAATTTTTTCGTTCTGGAGACTGTCATTTCTTGCAATAAGGCAGATTAAAGAGTACATTCTGAACAGCTCTTTATTACTACAGAATTCCCTGATGCATGATAAATTTTAACACTCAAATGCATTGTCCAGATCTGAAGACAGATGGGAAATTCTAAATGTGCTAACAGATACTCACTGTTAGCCAAAACTATAAAGGAAGGCAAATGGGAATGCAGAAGCTGGTGCAACCATAGGAAAAGAAAACTTCTACTGTGAATCTTATTAGAGATTCATGGATTGTTAGTTACTCAGGGTAAGAGGGTTTAATCTTTAAACTTACAAAGAGTAGAAGAGCTAAATAAGCATAACCCTAGGTCAGTGGAGAAAAAAATCTGCCTTCTTAAAAAACAGAATAATTTTAAAAGTGTTTAAAATTTTAAAACCTTGTAATAGATTAGAACAGAAAATTTAAAACAAACACAAATGAATGAGACATAAGAGAAAGAGTAAAGAAAAAAAAAAGAATAACAGGTTTAAACCTCCAAAGTCTTCATATTTATGAATTATTATATACGAGATAAAGGAATAACAGATGCTTTGAAATAATAATGATGGTGTAATAATTACTTTTTTAAAAAATCCTCTTGGAAGTTATACCAAAATAACTTTTGATATTAAAAAATAATTTTTGGATGTATTAAACCATACATTTCAACTACTGAGCTACAAGATAAATAGAAAGAAGTTAACCAAAGTCAGTGTAGAGGAGCAAAAAGATTGAGTTAGAAGGTAGAATAAATAGTCTAGCATGACTGATTCTAGTTTACAGAGTTGGGAGTAGAAAGACTTGGTTAGAGGAAATAGA